TGTGTGTATATATATATATATAACAGTATTCGTGAGGAACCTCATCAAGTGTGGGGTGTGTCAGACCGGGGCGCTCTTGCAGCATGCCGACAACACTCACAAATCATTATGCTGCCAGTGCGAGGGCAATCGGCTCAGTCCCGAAGTACAAAGGCGTGTTCGGCATCACTCTCGCAGCTCGCAGCAAATCTGCTCCACCCCAGAGCCCTGCTCAGCGCAGCCTGGGTGATGCCGCTTGCGGCGTTTCTACCACATCGCCAAGGATCCTGTTCCTGCTCCGGGCTTCTTGGGCCAACTGGAGCACCGCTGCACCGCTGCCGGACACATACATCATTGCACCAAGCTTAGGCCGTTACGAGTCAGCAGCGATTCGATTTCGAACTGTCCCACATTCGCTCCGAGTCCGGTCGTTGGGCAGGCTCCTCAGGAGCTGCATCCGGACACACAAATAATTGGCACCAGGCAGACAAGGCCATATTGGCGTCACTCACAAAAAATTACTACATCTGTTTCCGTAGACAAACTCTAGGAGTTTGCTACTTTCTCATCTCCGATCTCGGGGACGTTCTCGCCCTTTGAATCGCAAGTCGCTGCATCCTGTTTTGCGTACCACAAGCCGCCGAAGAGGTTGATCAACATTCCCACAACAGTCAGGGGCTGCTGAAAGTCTCTGTCTCCAAAGAAGAGGATACCCTGGACCAAGCATAAAGTCGTGGCAATGTTCCCGATTACCATAGTAAGTGTGGCAGAAGAACTCTTCAGACAACAGATTGTGACAAAGTGTCCAGACGCAAAGGACAGGGTCGACAAAAGCAACAGAATCAAGATCTGAGAATTGGTGATCCAGATCTGCCAGCCGTTCCAAATTGATGCCGCGGATCCGCCAGACATGAACACGGCTGGGATGCAGAGCAGAAACCCATCCCAGGCCATCATCCAGGCCACTGGAACATCATCCAATCTGCCGAGCAAGGCTCTTTGTAGTAATCTATACAATACATGCGAGAGTGTCCAGACTGAGGATGTCTCTATACCAACCCAATTGAAGTCAGGATCTTGCAGTACGAAGATTGTGGCACCAAACACAGTGCTAAAGAGAGCCATCTTGGATGATAGACTTGCCTCTTTGGCTTTAGAAGCACCGACAACAAATATGCTTGGAAGGGTCAGTTCGGCAGCCAGGCCGACCACTGGGCCAAGGTTTCCCACGATGGTGCGCTCCGAAATAGAGCTGTTGTTGGAGAGGAAATGATCCGCCAGCTGGTAGGCACAGAAAGCCACAGCTGCAGGCGTCCACTTGCAAAGCCCGGAAAGCGCGTGGCGAGTGACATTTCGGCTTTTATGGCAGGCAGACATTGCTGAGACGAGGAGTCCGGCGAGACAGAGGCCGGCCGCTTGCAGAAATGTGAGCGCCATGGGCTCCCGCGTCAGAATGCAAAGCGACTGGTTGGCGATCACATTTCCAATGCTCGTCGCTCCGACACTCAGCTGAATCAGAAGTTGATACAATGCATCTTGTCCCAGACCCGTCGTGAGCCCGTACCAGTAGTAGACCCAACCCATGAGCAGTGGCACAAACAGCAAGAGATAGATTGACACAATCTCACTGGCCGTCGCTATCTCAACCTTCACTTCCACTGACTTGCCCTTGGCGCCTTGGTATTCGGCATGCACAAAGGGTGCTGTCTCTTCTCCTGTAGCATTGAGTTTCGTGTCATTCACAGATGTCCCCGGCCATTGCTTCCGAGTGCTCGTCTTGTCTTTCTCGGACTTCTTGCTTTCTAGTTGCTCGGCTAGGTGCTGCTCAATATCTGTTGGCGCTGGCTCCCCGGATGCATTCTTGAGGGGTGCTCGAGCGGCACGGAATAGCCCTATCGCGGCGTTTGACCTGAGAGATGTGATCTGCATCAAATGTGCGGGATCCCCTTCACAGACGTGCGAAGCAGTCGGGCAAGTTGCAGAGGATGCTGCAACGCCCCTGCAAGCCATGAGCATTGCACACAGAATGCCTGGAATCTGCACGCCACCAGCTTGCAAGGGGGCCATTGCTGCTAAATCTACCTGTGCCCACTGCGGTGCTCCACGAAGGCTCCATCCGTGGGTAAAGCGGTTCGGTCCAGCTGTCTTGATCCGGCAGGAAATCGACCAGAAGCTGAAGACTACTTGTGCACTCATGCCACCCCCGCACCAGGTATCGCCAGGCTCAGCAAGCATCATTTCTTCGCCACGGCTCTCGAAGAAGTCAGCTATGCTCTGTCTTCCCTAACTCTAGTGGCTTGGATGCCCCGACTTCAGCACGAGTGGTCAGGCCAGGGCTTGGATCTTCTGCCGGAGTGCGGCCTGCAAGTCAGGCCAGAGATTGAAAATCTCGTGAAAATGCTTTTGGCATCATTTGGCCTCAAGCTTGTTGGTGTCGGAGATGAAAGCTCTGAGGCCCTCAGCCGAAGCAGCAGAAACCGAGTCTTGAATGGAGCGATGTCTCGTCCTGCCTCGGCCGTCTTCTCTGTGGCACATGCATCTTCGTTGCAGAGCAAGCGGAACTGAACCTTGACCGGAGGAAACGTTTCATGCTACAGGTTGGTGTATGCCAGGGACCTCCGACATCTGTCCACCGCAGAGCTCCTCGTCCTCGCATCTGGCTGCTGAGCCTTCCGGCTCCAACATCCTCACGGAACTCGGCAGACGCCTACGGTGACATCATCTTGTCAAAGCTCGCGCTTCTTGATACTTCGCAACCAGCATGAGCTCGGGATTCTATGAAAGTCATTTTCACTCGAGGTGATGCACTACACCATTCCCAGTCTGCTGGTGAAGTAGCCTGGCTTGGCCATGCTACGCTGCGACACACAGCAAAGAGGCACCACAGAAGTAAAATCTCAAGGGCCTTGGTATGCTACCGCTCTTTATGACATCAGGGCTTGGCGGAACAAAGCCTGAGAGCGTTGAGATGAATTTCTGTGTGTGCCCATGTTCATGGGCGTGCAGGTGCATCGGTCATGAGCTGCACCTGTCCCCATCTGACATTTGCCGCGCCAGGCACCGGGTTGCAGCCGTGTTGAAAATCTTTGGCTGTCTAATGACCCAACCGACACAATGTGACAACGAGATCATTCCGAGAGGGAGCTGCGAGACTCGTCTAGCCGCCGTCGAGTTATATACACCGCTACAACATATGGTTTCGTCATGTCTGTGGAACTCTGACCATGCCACACTGAGCAGGCTCAACCTCTGGAAGCTGGATCGTTTCTGTGTATCTTGTGTGAATCATATTATATAGAATCAAAGGTGCAGCGTGCTTAGCTGTCAGTGATATCAGCCCAGCGGGGGCTAGGCTGTCGGCTCTGTTGTGGTGAAGGTGGTGCTTCTAGCTTGCCAGCCACCGGCCTCAGTGCTCTCACGAAGTCTATCGGGTAGAACCATGCAGGGAACTGCTACCACCACTAAGCAAGGCAGAAGATATTGCCGACTGCATCCGAGAAGCAAGGTTACAGGGACACCGACCTGTTGAACATTACCCGGAAGAAGCATTTGCTGACCCATGCCCTGTGGAAGCTGCATAGGCACAGGCTGCACAGAAAGCTGGGGAAACTGTTGTACAGCCTGCAAAGGCTGAAACTGCTGGATAGGAGCTGGCTGTGTAGCCTGAAGCTGGGGCTGCAGCTGAAGGGGCTGCTGAGGCGGAAGCTGTGGGGGCAGCTGACCGGGAAGCTGTTGTCCAAGGAGTTGTTGGGCGGGGATCTGTTGAACTGGAATCTGCTGCATCTGCTGCATCTGCTGGGGGGGCATTTGCCCTGCAGGAATTTGTTGGGCAGGCATCTGCTGGGCAGAAATCTGCTGGGCAGAAATCTGCTGCGCAGGAATCTGCTGGGCAGAGATCTGCTGGGGTGCTTGCAGCTGCTGAGCAGGACCTTGCTGCGACCTTAGCTTCTCCGAAGATGTCAGGTATTTTGCAGCTGGCTGGTGGTCCGCGTCTGACGCTTTCGGTCTTGCTACATGTAGAATTCACTAGTAGGCCTAGCAATCAGCTATTACTTCCACAGCCACATCTGGCAAGGTGCACAGCAGGCACTTGCATGAGAACGGCCGCGGCCCCGGGAGCAGCCAGTAACTGATACTGCGCCATCGGTACTGTGTACATGGGAGCCGGCATCCCGCAGCCCCTCAGAAACATTTGGCATCGTGCTGCATGCTTCAACATGACGTCAAGAATCAGTGCTCTGATGTTTGCGGCTCATGTCGGCAGTATGGGAGTCAAGGCACTGTCCAAGTTGTCCAACTGGGACTGCAACGACACCCGGTGACTGAGGGACAGCCATGACACCAGGGCCATTGTTTGGGGGGCCGCTGGCGCAAGGCCCAGCCCCAGTGCCGGGTATGGCGCCTGGCTGCGAAGGCTGCGAAGCCACTGCGCCGACCCCGAGAGGAACAGAACCCCCCGGCGAAGGAGGTCCTCACCGGAACACGAAGACTCTGCATTGTCCTACGAGGTCCTATAATCTTCCGCGCTCCTCTCGTCGCATCCGCAGGCCTGCTTGCCGAAGGAGACTCGGACTGACAGGGCACCAAGCTCTTCAGCGCAAGATGCAAAATACGCAAAACAAAACCATCACACCCAGTGTCATCTGCCGTTCTGACCGTATCATAAAATCGAAACTGTGCGGTTGGACTAAGGGATGAAGCTGCAAGTCCTTGGCAGCTGGGTCATGTTACATCCATAATTCAAATTCATATAACCTCAAGCCCATTAAAGTCCCGCCTGAGCAGCCTCCCGACTGGCAGCCTCCGCCTGCTGTTGTCGTAACCGAGCAACTTTCCTTCGTTCAGGCATGGATACATGGGGTATCAGCCATGTCTGATCCCGACCACCTCGCTCCACGCATGCACCACTGGGCACGGGATGAAGGTCTATGGCAATTTCACAGAGATACCGGGCTTCAAGTCAAGAAACTGCTTCTTGCGAAGCTTTGGCTCCCCCTCTGGGCAAAGGTGGCAGCGCTTGCATGCTGCGCCATTAATACAGCCACTGGGCTTCTTGTGAAACCAAGCCTTTGGTGACAGCACTTCAAGCACGGATGGACTTGCTACTGCTAGAGCTGGTCTTTGCCGCAAAGACAAAAAATGCACGGAATAGCGAAATCAGGCACCTTGCAGATCCACACTTAAAACAGAGCAGCTTCACATAGGGGGGGACTGATTTCTTGCCAAAGTGCACAGGGCTGGCATGCAGGTAGGCCCTCCTGTCAAATCGACACTCTCACTGAAGATGAAGGCGCTGCTTTGGCAGATGCAGGCTGTCCTCGTCAAACAGCCCATGCAATTTCGATCCTTCTGAAGGAGGTGCGGAAAGCGCTTCCGGGGCTTGCAAAGCAAGGCCCAGCAGCTGCCTTCCGAAATGCGATGGGCTCATCCTGAGTTGGGCCACGGGAGGACGAGTCAAGTGGCGAGTCAAATGCGGGCCCAGCGTCTGTGGCGGCACGGGCGCTACGTCGTCCTCGAAGGTCGGCGCCGACTCCGAGGGCGGCGGCATGCTTGGACTGACCGGACTGCTGCCTCGGACCACGGGCTGTACCTCTCACTGCGTCAAAGGGGCCACCCCTGCCTGTGCCGTCATGGTCATCTTCGGGAACCAGGAGTCTCATATCCATCCGCTTGTCTGGTGAGTCCGGGGGGACTGCGGTCAGCTCACTGTGTTGCATCTCCTTACTCTGAAAAATCGAAGCCAGACACAAGCGCGGGCTGGCTTAGCACCGGGATAAGCGAAAAGCTCCTCCTGAGCCCTTCCTAAGCCTGTCAAAAATGTTTGAGGAAATCGCATTATGTGAGTGTTCTATGTGGTGCTGTCAGTTTTTGATTGAAATGGGCAATCCGTCAGAGTCCTCCGAATCTTCTTGAAAAGACGCCAAAAACATGCAGCCGAAATCGATGTCCAACTACAGGAAGATTACGGTACAGGCTGTCCTAAGCCTTACAGTTGACGTCAAATGACATGGATCACAAAGTTCGTACCGGTCCAAACCGGCACCCAGATTGAGAGCATCGACTGGTTCTAGTGATGCTGACTTCAACATTTATCCAGCTTCACAGGCTCACAGGAGAATACAACGGCGAAGCACTCCCATCGTTGTGAGGTATTTCTGGCATCGCGACGTGTCGTTTGCCACAAGATCTCAGCCCACTCTCTCACAACACTCGTACCTGGCGCTTATTCGTATGTCCAAGCATCCTGCTGATCAGGTTGCTCGTCAAAGAACCCTTTTGATGGCGACATGCGCGCTGTACAGGTCCTGGCTCCGCGATCATGAAGTGAATGGATTGAATCAGGAGATTCCTCTTCCACATCGATGAAGGTGTTCTTCACCTGACAGCTGCAGTATGGGTGTATTCAGCTCGGTGGGAAAGAACACATCCAAGAGGATAGTGCAGTTCAGCTTTCTTTGCGTAGCACGCCGCAGCTGCCTGCACAAACCTGTGAGAACTTCTCAGCGCTGCACCGTGAGCGGCAGCTTCGCATCGACGGGAATGCCAACTGGCGAGACTGCTGGTGATCGCGAGAAGGACCTGGCAGCGCCGAGAACTGTCGCTGTGCTTGCTGCCGGATGCCGCCGAGAAACTCGAAGGCCGCTGCCAGGACCTGCTGGCCGATGCCGATGTGCGCGTGCTGCCCTTGCGGCTCTTTGCCATCCGCGAGGTAGCGCTGGTGCGCCGGTATGATGGGAAGCTGTGCCGCAGGCATTGCCTTCTGCTCTTGGGCCGTTACGGCTGCGAACAGCAACACGGTACCACCTTCAACAACACGCGCACCAACTCCAAGAGTCAGCCGGAGCCCAGGTCCTCTCCAACACGCCAGTGTCCTCAGCAAGCTGCTTGAGAAACCTCAGGTTCGCGAACAAGAGCGAGCGGGATGGCCCATCCGATGGTGACAACTTGTCTCCTTTAAGAGGCTGGCGCCGGTGGAATCGTCATTCTATCAACTCCGGCCAGTGCCTCGCAAAATGGCAGCCGAAAGAAAAGTTGACTGCCCAGAAAAAGAAGACGCCGACGGAGGGATTGAGGCAGAGGGGAATGCGATGGAGGGTTGCAAGCCTGCGACTGCCCAAGCCAGCCTTTGAAAGCTAATTAGGCGAAGCCACTGCGCTCTGTCCAGGTGTGGTGACAGGTGAGACAAGTCACGAAAGCGACTGTTGTTTCAACGGGCTCGCCTCCTGAGCGTACACAGCTCTCGACTGCGAAATTCTGTACATGCTTGGTCTTCGTTCCAAGGCATCTTCCACAGCGAAACTTGTCTGTCGAAACAATACCGGAAGGTCGCAAAGACGTCTCGGCCAGTGCTTGCCGTCTCAAATGTGCCCTCTGCGCATTGCGACTCGAACTGGCCATCTCCTCCGCTGAGATGAAGGGAAGTCGCGTTAGGTCAAGCTCGCCACTCAGCAAGCTCTCCCTGAAGTCCACGTTGGAACTATCCTTCAGGTTGTAAAGAAGCGACCTGGCCTGGCTCGTATATCTCCGCCCATCCAATTTCTCGTGAAGCTGTGCTTCTATCCTCCTGGCTAAGAGAAGAAATTCAGAAGTCTTCATGGGGCTATCGCTCTTCGAAGACACGAATTCCAAAGCCGCCCTAAATTTCTGGACGACAAGTTGACGCTGGGTGGACAAACTCGGTAAAGCTGCCACTTCCGTGTCGGCATCTGCTGCCTCTGCGTCTTTACATGTGCTCTTTGGGCTCTTTGACCGCGAACGTGAACGCATGCGCGCAGCGAGCTCACATCCTGGAGCAGATGTCACCGGCCTTGATCTGCAATCTGCGACTTGAGCCGTCACATGTCGTCAAAGTTGGGCTGCAAGATTTTTCGACATAGCACCCCCTAGTATAGCCCTGTAAACTCAAGTTCACATGCAATAACTCCCCAAACCGAGAACTGACCTGAATTTCGTCCAGATCGTGGCCGGCTCCCCTGGCATCTGGAACGTTTGCAAGCCACAGGAGACATCCTAAAGCCTCAAGACTGCGCAGCGCTCAGGCACCTGGAAGGCCTCCAGCTAGCAGGCATGCAGATCGTGTTGTGGCCGTACTTCTTGTAATAGGAGTACCTGTGGTCCGAATGTCGGCGAGGTCAAGAGCTTTTTCGTTCACAGCTTCAGCAGATGCACTGCCGTTTCTCACGGCCAACATGTCGCTCATGCAGTTTTCTTTGGTTCCAATCAAAGCCGGCAAGAGTCAAAGCAGATGATATTATGCAACAAATGGTCTTCCACACATCGGCTCCAGGTCGTCATCATATTACCTTGGCCAGGTCAACCGTTTCAGTGGCAATCAGAACTCTCTCTGCCTTCCGGCTTGAGCTGCGGACTCCTTCGGCCACCTTCCATGCTGCAGGAACGCTTGGGAAGTGAGTGACCTCGGTACAGAGGGTGCTCGCTTGACGGAATGCCTTCTGCAAGGCTCCGTGAGTCCACTTCGGCAGTGCCATCAGACCACGAGCTGCCAACATATTTTTTGCCTTCCCTCGGCTCTGCCATCATAAAGGCCACAGTCGACCTGCTGCAGCTCGACTCCAACTCTTACCCCGCGAGGCATGGCAGAACGACAGAACACACACAGCCTCCACTCAAGATAGTGCTGCGTGTTCTTGTGCTTGGCCGCATCGGCAGCCGTCCTCCGGCTGAAACAAGATGTGTTGCAGATTTCTGCAGAGCTTACCTCACCACGGGCTGTGGCCTGTACACTTCAATCAGCAGGAAATCGGTTGGGTCGTCCACGCTTTGGAGCACATCGAACCGCAAATTGCCATACTCCTTCACCTCATATCGCGCAATCATCAAAATCCCCAGGCCCAGTCGACACATGACTCCATCGCTATGTGACCTGGGCCGCTAGCCGACTCCATGGCATTGGCACGAGTGGCCTTCTTGAACGCCTCTGAGCAAGGGCAAAAAAAAACATAAACAAACGCTAGGTTGCGCTTAACGGCCCAACCCTAATCCAAACGAAGGAGCCAAGCCTTCTCGGCTCCAGGCTTCACCTTGACCACGACGTGTGTGACGTCGACGTCGGCTGCACCCTGTTCAGGAAAGCCAGCTCTCAGCGATGCCCCGCAATGTACGACCTACCGGGAACCTGAGACCTCTCAAGCATCAGCGTTGCAGGGTGGTAATCTGTCGCCTGCGGAACAAGGGCACGCGCAGCACATGAGGCAAGCTGCCACTACCTCGCAGCCGTAATATGCAATGTAACTCGGCAGAAGCTAATTCGACCAATGTCGGCCATTGGCAGCACAAGGTCGCACAAAGCACGATACCAACTACCAGTACCACCTCGAAACATAGTAAAGGTAAGTGACTCGTCGCCAAAATCCTGTTTTGGCACCAACATCTTGTCCTATAGCCCAATCTATGTGTGTACTTGCGGCCGCCGAATAAAACCTGAGCACCGCCTTGACATATACACATACATACTTAAGATATATGTGTATACAGCTATAGTAGATGTAGATACACATACATAGACACACAAGTACACACGCATACACACACACACACACACATACACATGCGTACTTAGTTACTTACTTGCTACTTTCTTTTCTTGTCTTACACTACATTCATGACATTACAGTACATTGCATTCATACACACATAAAGACATGCATACACACATATGCAGACGTACTTACATTACATTACATTACATTACATTATATTTCATGACATTGCATTATCGTACATACAATTGCAGTACATTATAATTCATACACACATACACACATAAACAACACACACACATACATACATACATACATACATACATACATACATACATACATACATACATACATACATATGCACTTCCTTCCTTCCCTCCCTCCTTCCATATTTACGTTACATACAGTACAGTACATTACACAACGCTACATTACATTAAATTACATTACATTACATTACATTACATTACATTACATTACATTACATTACATGCCAACAGTACAGTACAGTACATTACATTCATGCACACATACACAAATACAAATATGTGTGTGGACACACACACATACATGCATATGCATACATGCATACAATTACATACATCACTGCAACGATGTTGCCAATCTAAGTGTACGGATTTCGGGCTAACGGGCCTCGGACTTCAAAATTAGGAGGCTGGGTATCTGTTGGAGTATTGGTGGGTACCGGCATGCCACACAGCTACGTTCCTGTCCATAACCCCATTTTGAGCTCACAAGCTCGAAACCTTTGGCCTATACGGCGCTGCTGTCGAGTTATGTGCGACCGTTGGGCATAGAGCGGTGTATTGGTAACCGGCCAGACCTAGACAAGCTCTCTCTTTGACTCCGTTCAATCTGTGCATGTAGTTGCGGCCGCCCTCAAAATCTAAGACTGTTGGAAACCGTGGGTTATTCCAGACTAACGGGGTTTTGACTGTGACTCAAGTGATTGTAAATGGATGCGAGCATACAAACCTTGGTAGCCCACTACAAAATGTGTGTCATTCATGCCTTGGCGCCTTGTAGGACAAGTGGGGCTGGCAACAGTTAATCAACATGGAAGGACAACGCGCCTTCGCTGTGCAGAACAATTTCACGGTGCCCTCTTTGGAGAGTCACAGAGTCAGCAGGGAGCATCGAAGAGCTGAACTGAATCGCAGGCGTGGACGTACACGGAAGCACTGCATGATTGTGGTCGAAAAGCCATGGGGTTTGAGAATGACTGGCAAATAGGAGGCCATATCATGAATGAGAGATATCACTTAGCGAGTCGCAAGGTTGTAAGGCGCAACTTGACAAGCGCGAGACAAATTCGATGCTCCCGATACTATCTCTGTGTGTTCCTCCTTGCGCTTAGACACTCGAGGCGACGCCTCTGGCCTCCTGAAATTCACAGAGTGTGTGCTCGAGCCTTCAAAACACCCGGGGTGCTCTCCGGATCTCTCCGGCCTACGGAAACGCCCTCATGCGTCATCGGGGCTCAGAGTTGAACGCTCCGGGCCCCGCAATCCGAGCCTGGGATTTGGGGAGGGATGTGCATGGGCCCGCCACCCAAGCCAGGCGGCTTGGGTTGGAATCGGACACTTGGCAAGACAGCCCACTTCGCAGCAACAAAGCTCTTCCCTCGATGATCCCTCACCGAAGTACTAAGCTGGCTCAGAGACCGGGCATAGGGGGAGAGATGGTCTAACAAACACGCACACACGCACAGCACCGGCAGCGAGACTAAGGGCAAAAGCACATTCAGCTGATGCCCTTGCGGCTGCAATACTCGAACAGTGTCCCCTTGTCGATGCTGAAGGCATCCCCCCCTCGACAAGAGCTTTAAAACGACAACTGCGAGTGTTGTCCTTTCTTTGCCATCACGATCTAGATTTCATGCCGAAAGGCCGAAACTTTATCGCTCAACACGGTGCGAATGACACTGTCACTGTCTCTGGCCAGCGTGTCCTTTCCCGGAAAAACGGTGTCGTACTGCACTGCGGTCCTGCGAAAAACAACCGTCTCGCGAGGCATACTCTTTAGGTTGCAGGCGTCCTTGGCACAGCCATCATATCTGCCACGTCATCGCGCCATCGCTGATAGTGCTGCGTTTCCTTGTGTCCGGCGGGCCCATCTGCATTCCTGGGTCGGCCATGAAAAAACTGCCACCTCCCCTTGGTTGTCGTTGCACAAATCTGGTCCTGTAGATTTCGACCAAGGCAAAGTTGCCGGGCGAATCTCCTTGGGAAGCGCGCCAGTGCCGAAACTCAACAAACAAACCAGAACCTTGGAGCCGAACAGCAACGAAACTGATTTTTAAATCGCCTCACATGACACCGTCACAGACCGGACATGCAAGAACAGGATTCAAACTCTGTAAGCCGACTTCAAACTGATCCGACATCCAGGCTCGCTGTTGAAGCACGTCGAACCGCTGATTCAGCGGCTCGCCCTTGGACTTCCGTGCATTCTGCAGTGACGCCTGCATCGCTAACTCATGCAAAATGCTACGCAATGGCCGCAATGGCCAATGGCAGGTCGAGGCCTCTAGGAAGTCCTCCTCCTGGCCTTCCTTCACCTGCACCTGGCCCGTGTGGGTAACCAGCAACCGGCGGGAAACCATGATCATGGATGAATGAATCAACGAAGCGCCTGAACAACTGCGGCATATGCCACGCGCTGCGACGGTGTTGCCGTCAGCTGTGTCTGAGCACGGGATTCGGGCTTCGGGCAGCTGCCGAGAGTGACAAGCATGCTCGCTCGCACCGTGCATCCGGGTTTATCCAAGTCTCCCGTGACAGCGCACGAGACTTGCGCAGCTTGGGCAGCATCGGCAGGGAGCCGGGGCCAACAAAGCTGGTCCCTTCCAGCAGGCAGCAAGCTACCTAAAGGCTCAAGGATGCGAGCATAATCGAGCACACTTGCTCTGTCCCGTCCAAGCAACGCAGACTGCCGACACCAACCGCAGGTGGCGTGAGGTGCTTCCATGTCCTCACATCATCGGCTCATACTGTGCCTTCCACCTACTTACTTCTGCAATTCTGCTGAGCAAGTTGCTCGTGCCAGCCATCGTCGCTCAGCTGTGAAGTCTCGAATGGCACTTCAGCACTTCACTTGTTGTATACGTCTTTGGCGAGGGATGTGAAGGGATGCGTATGCACATGATTCCACGGCACCTGGATCAGCTGCAACTAGACAGGCAGTCTCCTGTACTTTTCTCTGCTGGACGTGCTGCAATTGCACGCTCCAGACGCCAATATGTGAACATGTCGCCTGAAAATGGCTGCTGATGCACAGTGATGTGACACCGGCAGGTGGGTTCCAGGGAACTGGCCGAGCGAAAACATAAGGAGGCATGTCTGACTGGGAGCCTATAGGCCTTTAGGGCCTATAGAGCTCGGACGCTATGGCGGCTAGGGGGCACATCCTCTCGACAGCAACGACGCCTGGATCCTGGCCAGCTTCAGCAGATGTTGGTTGGGTGATGTGGCTCATCAAGACGTAACACTTTCCACGCTGGCATCGAAGCCAAACAGCTGTGACATGGTGGACGTCAGGCGCCGCCTCCCGGGGGCTCCACGTCTCTTTGCCTCGATAGCACTCAACTCCCAGCGTCCTACTCTGAATACTCGAAATATTCTGGTGCATTCCGCTCGAGCTGCCTGAACTCCGCTTGTGCCAGTCCAACACACGGCCAGGAAAAGGTGAAATCAGCCTTGCACCATACCTTGGATGATTTTTCGGCTGGACGTGAAAAAGATGCTGTCGGCAGCGAAAATGAGGCAGAAGCTGCGCAGCTGCAACAGCTTGCACCTCAGAACTCATATCTGGACAGGGACCACGGAAGGAACTGGTGCCATCATCTTTGATGAAGTTGAGGTTCAATCAAACCCGAACACCAACGTCATGTTGCAGGTGATGCCCTCGGCGTCTTCTTCAGAGATACAATATCACGACTTGTTTACAGCATACATCCTGGCCTCCTTCTCTAGCTCCGCCATGGCTGCAATGCCCTCCCATGTGGCCGCGAGCTTTATGAGGACCTTGCAGAGCTCCATGACGAGTAATTCTTTGCCCGGGAAGGCGGCTGAGTAACAGGCTCTCTCACGTGGTACACCAGCTTCTTCGTACAAGGCCTAAGTCTTAGGCCTAAGTTCTGACAACAGCTATATAACGAAGCTGTCCCAGCCCTCGGGCTAAGATCTCCAATCTATGGCAGCCGCAATGATGCGACGAGCACGGCGAAGCGTCTCTTCCTGCACATCAAAACTCTGGCCACAAGAAGCTAGGATGCGTCTGATAGATTGCCTTGTCGAAACTCAATCTGGGATCCACCTCGCTCAGCCCCATCACTGGGGAAAGACAAGTCTTTGTGCCTGTGCATCCCTGCTCTCGCGGACCTCGGTAGATATGTACCCAGTCACCAACTTGGAAATCGCCTCAATGAAGTTTGGCGTTGGCGGAAGGGAACGGCAAGATCATGTACCAAAGCAACCAAAGGGTTCGAGCAGGGCGGTTTAGTGCACCCTGCGTTGTGTATTTCGGCTGGGGCGCCACTCCCAGATTTACCGCCAGCTTGTCCATCGCGAGGGCAACCCTTTCATCCACGCCTTCAACTTTCCCGCACGCGTACTCGATCCTGGGTCCGGCGCAGCATGGCATTAGCATGGGTCTGCCAGAGACTAGGGGACGTGCGCATCTTCCACGAAGGCGACGTAAACCTTCGACGGCGCTTGAAGCTCGTGATAACATTCTCGAGGAGGCTGTCTCAAGTCTGATGCCGGATCTCCACTCAATCCAGCTTGGCTGACGAACAAGGGGTTCCTGCATCAGGCTGTGAACTCTGCTTGCAAATTGAAGAGCCTCGGCTGCAAGACGTTGCCAAGTCGCCAGCGTCGTTGCATCGGTAATCAACCCGGTCTCTGCATATTCCTATGCTCAGCTGTTCCACATCGCAGACACGCATAGTGAAAACAGTTGGCTCGGTCCTTGATGATTGCTAAGTCGCCGGTGTCAATCGACAGCGTGGTCACGGCAGCTAGCCTTGGTCAGTTACATGCCGTCTCGGAAAAGTCATCGTGGTGCCTGGTGCAGCTGAGCATCTGGGACAGGCCAGTTTCAGCGACAGAACGAAGTGAAATCCTGCCGGCAACAGCTAAGTCAAAGTTGCTGCGTTGCCGCGTTTCGTCTTGAAACTACAAGAAACATACATAAACATACAAAACCTTATGTTAAAAAAAGACGGAGCCCCACAGCGTCCCTTTCTAAAAAAAAGGCGGTTGTCCCGGCTTGGGACCTGGGGATTTATCTTAGCCGCTAGGCTTGCGAGGAGACCCGGGAGAACCCTGAAAGTGTCAGTTGCCCGGCCGGTGCTTCTGGCTTTGATTTGCATTTCGACGGGACACTCTTCAGGATTGTTCTGGTAGGTCGAATAGGCCTCTTGCTTGGGAAGACTGGCTTCAGCTTCCACCCTTGCCCTATCAAGCAAATTCATGCTCTCTCATTCAATTCTTCTCTTGAGCCCGCACTTGCGCCAAGCGAAGCCCGAAGTCATATCACGTCTTCTTAGAAGCTGGCCTCATTCCGTGTCGGAAGATTCATGACGACTCAGACCGGCTTGAGCAAATTGGACCAGTCAATGCTTCGAGCCGTTTAAGAAGTTCAAAACGTTTTCTTTGCTACCGAGCCCGCGCTTGCGCACACGAACGCCGTGAAGGTCTGCAGCCACAACGGGGAGGCGATCCTTTAAGGCTCCACGTCTGGGCATAGAGCTAACTGGCCACAGAAGCGGCCCCTGGTCCCGTTGCAAATTGGTTGTTACTCCTGCTCTCTGTAGGTGTTCTGCACTCCCAGGATTGATTCACCCATCCACAGCAACTCATGAGCCATGCTAGGAAACACCAACCTCCTTCAAATCAAGGAGTCAAAACCAGCCTGTTGGCTTCCGTGTGCTGTGACAGTCCTCGATCCTGATTGTGCTATGACCGATCCGGTGAAGGCCTTCAACTCCAAGTCAAAAAGGCACTCCGCATTGCTTCGCAATCTGCGGCCCTGAAGCGGCCGCCTGGAACTCACCGTGGTGCCTTGGCAGGTGAAGGTGAAAGGCGGCGCTCGGCAGGACGGGATGAAACAGCTGGAAGTCCCATCGTCACTGAGCCATGTGCCTAAGAATGAGGATGCTCAATGCGACCTCATCAGGTGCTTTACAAAAGACATGGTTCACTCCAAACACGTTCGGACAGCTGTTTGGGCATCCTCCTGTTCCTGTTTTCTTGCGAGAATCGAAGACTTTGACCACAGACTGGCATTTGCACTGAGAAAGAAGATCATGCACCAAGACACAAATGAACCACTGGGTCGAATCCGTATCTAGAGGAAACTGGACAGCAATTTGGTCAGAAGGGTCATGCCCAACGCGGCAAGTGCGACACAAGCTGTGTTTCGCAGAAAGGTCGGGCACCGCTCGCAACTGCGCAAAGGCCCTTGCACAAGCCAACCGCAGCGCCCGCTTCGCCATGCGGTGGCTGCAGCCTGGTTGACCAGAAGGCCTTCAAGGAACAAGAAAAACTATAGTGACTATCGTTTCGCGACCTACCGCTCTACCATTCGCCTCTTGAACCTCTGCGAAACATTATCAGCCACCGAGTTCACACAAGCGTCACACAGTCCAGGACGAACGAACCTTGCAGCAGACATCAAAGCCATGCTTGGGCACGAGTTGGCCGTAGTTGGCGAGTGAAACTTGAGTGTCCATGCACGGCTAGGCTAGGCTTCATACTTCTTTCGTGAAGCCCAATGCCGGACTCGGACGGGACACATTGCCACTTTCGTCCCGAACAGGCATGCCTTGGCAAACTCCATCGGCTCCGATCGAGCCTGCCACCGCGACTGGCATTCCTTGAAAGGTCGCGAGCTCAGGAGCCGGAGCCGGGCCGGGAGCCCCAGTGGCACCGGAAACTGGCTGAGCGATCCCCGTCACCGTCCCTGTGGGCAGATCCTCCACCGGAACTCCTACAAGTTGAGCGCCATCCCGTTCTGAAAGGCTCTCTGGTGCCTGCGACCTTGCTTCCAAAAGCAATGGTATGTTGCGTTTCGCGGACATGGCGGCAGCAACCGCACCCACCACCCAGACCAGCCACATCACTGTGGACACCAAGTGCCACACTGCCTCGACGTGACTGTCGGTCAAGCCATTATCTGTTGTGAGCGTTGGCTGGGCCACTGCCGCCTCCCCGTCTCCCATGCAAGCAGCAGGTTGTTGCCTGTAGGCTATCGCTTCCAGGACTGCTGCAATAAACCTCGCAGCGAGACAAATCACGCTGGACAGTGAAGGCACAGAATTCGGAGATGCAGGACACCACTGACTGAAGGCAAGCGACGTCCAGGCCACAAGGATGTGGCCGTATCGAGAAACGCCTACCAGTTGTGCTTCCTTCAGTGGTGCACCCTCGCCACTGGTAACAGCGCCACCATGCAGTAGCACACCCCAACCAGCGAATATCGCTGACACGATGAAACTCAAGGCCTGCGCAAAGGCCAAACAGTTGGCTCAGGACAGCTCGACTGACCCTCTCTCCACACATGGGAAACTCGGGCACTGACCAGGATATTGTGCCAAGAATAGCCATTTTGCTCGTAGCAGAGTGTCTCCGCTGAAAGGACACTGGCAGACATTCCCGACAAGACGAAAATCAGCATGAAGATGGCATCAAAGACAAGGCATACAGCGCCTCAAGTCCAGGCTCTGTACTCAGGCAAGTCAGTCAATGCCAACTTCATTAGCTGATCCAAGCCGCACAGGACTCGAAATCGCTCCAGTGGGGGCCGCTGATGCAGACATAAGACCATCCGTGCCACGTCACTAAGCTAGCTTCCAGCAGACATCCCCGAGCAGATCTGAAACACTGCGAGGCCAAGCACACATGCGGAGAAGCTGCAAGCAGTCCGGCCTCAGTCCGTTGGAACATTCTCGAAGACTTTTGAGGCTAAAGCTATCTGTATCGTTGGCACCTCATGTCTTTGACATGTGCCTTCGCAGCCATTTAGTGGCACGTCTCCATAATTTTTCTATACATGAGCAGGGCTGCTCAAATCTCCAAACCGCTAGCTGTCAAACTTGCTGGATTGCCATTTCCTCGGTCACCACGCGGATTTCCATGCGGGTTGCTGTCACTTCGTCGCGCATGTCTTGGAGTCTCAGGCATCGACAGAAGTCGTCGTGGAAAGAATCCCGCCTGGATATGGCCGAAACACCCAGGGCTTGAGCGGCGCTTTCTGAACTGCAGGAGCCTCCCGCCACGTCCTCGGAATCCTCGGAACGGCCGCCGCTGCTAGGAAGGTCATCGCCGTGCATACGATGAGCTTCGTCATCCATCCCACGTGCTTCTGCCGGGACTTCTCCCCCATCCAGGCAAGCCATGCGAGGCGGAAGGCACAACGGAATGTTGTGTGCTTTCGTCCACGCTTCGTCCTGCAAAGAGCTTCTGTCAATCGTCACAGCTACTGTCACAGCTGGGATGCAGTCCCTTCAATGCTACGAGTACCACGGCAACTTCGGCGAAGGAGTTCGTGTTGCGCATGGTTGTGACAGAGATGCTCGATGCTCCCAACTCGCAAACTGCGCCCCACCCACCCATCACCCAATTAGGCCAGAAAAAATGCTTAAAAACATACCCCCCCCCCCCCCCCATAATCTTGCACGGACCCTGTTATGACCATTTGCGGTCCTCGAAGCTCTGCGATTGCAAGGAGTTC